AGATGAAGACCTTCTGTGTTCTGTGTTAAATTTTGCCGTTTAGATAAACTGTTGTTACTCTTATTCTTCATATAGTTAGTAGAACTTAAAATTAAACCCCAAATGGTTCCAACAATTACCTTCCCAGTACATCATCACCGGAATCATGGAATCATTAAGGTTGGAAAAGACCTTCAAGATCATCTAGCCCAACCACCAACCCATCACCACCATGCCAACTAAACCATGACTCCAAGTACCATATCGACACGGTTCCTGAACACCTCCAAGGGTCAATAACTCCACCAACACCACAGGCAGCCTGTTCCAACGCCTCACCACTCCTTCCGAGAACGTTTTTTTTCTTAATATCCAAACTTAACCTCTCCCTGCACAACTTAAAGCCATCACCTCATCCTATCACTAGTTACCTGGGAAAAGAGACTAATCCTCACGGTTGGCCTCTTCCATTGTTTCATTAATTATATTTTGGAATGATCACTGACTTTACTACAACCGTGCTCACTTACCCTCAGGAGACCAAACCCAGCGACTTGGGATCCCTGTGCCTATTTCAAATGAAATGTGCATTTTACCTTCTCTTGGAGAAGCAGATGGCATCATATTAAATACTTTCACACAGTTCCATGTTCTACCATAAGTTACCTATTTATTCACACGACTATCCATCCATAAACACTCACCCACAATTTAAGAGGGGAGTATGATATGTACTAACGACTACAGTAAAGCATTACGTATATGTTCACGTCCCATTAGTTTCATGTGTTTAACAAAATTTACCAAACCAAGGACCAATACATACCCTATTCAGGCTTTACATAACTATTAAGAGCATATATTCTGATAATACCCATGGTCTGAATTAGGACATGAATAGACCCTAGACACTGGGCAAAGGTATGCAAAGATCCAGCTCTGCTTCTAGTGAAATTGTTTAACCAAGGTTAAAAAATATTTATCTATCTCCATCAAATCATTTGAACTAACAATAAACACATAAGCGTACAGGATCACTGTATGAAAAGATACATGCAGTATGGAGATAAGTGAGTCATGTATAAAGAGTTTAAAATTGAAATTTTTCAATCATACCCATTAATCTTTCAGAAGACAAAAAAGAATGCAAATACTACTGCACAGAATTACGAGCTTTGAAGATCCATAATCTTTTCAATTATGGAAGAAAACATTACTTTTTTCTCAATCCAGCAAAAGTCAGAGAAAAGGAAAGATGAAAAACATGAATCTGCATTTAAGACAAGGAAAAAAAAAATCTGCAGCAACTTTATGTCTGCGCAAACGAACATATATTTCAGAAAAGATAAATATAGTAGATAAAATCCCAAAAATAGATGAAAAAAAAAACATACTAAGAAGTATTATCCAAAGTAGTAATTACCAGGAAAACAAAACCGATCATCCAAATAAACTAACGAAAAAACTAGAGAAACACACAAAAACTAATCTTTTAAAACAAAATTAAATAGAAAAGGGTCTTCTTGCAAACTTAAAGTAAAAACTAATGATTGAGAAAGATTAGAGGGGCAAATACACTGAGAACTGAGACGGCCTTTGTGCACTGATCAAGACTTAACATAGCCTAAGTTTGGTTTTAAATTAATATTTCTTTATATAAATATATTTAAAAAGTGATTCTAAACCCACTCAGTATGATAAGTATGTTAATGGATGCGGAATAATTAGTATCACAGCAGTCAGGACTTGACATGAGCAGGAACATACAAGACCTTTTAAGATATTCATACGAACATGGAAACTATTGTAAGATGAAGTGCTACAACATAGCTCCTCAGTAAATCTCATTATGGACATTAGGAAAGATGAACTTTTAAAATTTAGAAGAAGCACATGCAGGAAGAAGTAGCTCAGAATCAGTGCGTTGCTCTCTACTGAATACAGAGTTCCATCTAGAATTGAACACAAAGACTCCAATCTGCAAATAAATTAGACTGAAGTTGTAAAGTCTGGGGATAATATCATGTTCATTTTGAAGAGAGTAATTGAATAATTATGGAAAATGTTTCCAACAGTATTTAACTGACTTCTGAAATACTTGAGAATGTATCCGATTTAAGACAGAACATTTTAACATCAGTTAAATTGAGATGGGGTAACTGATTTTATTTAACTCCATGTTATTTCAGTAACGTCATGGGACGACTTCCTTTTCTCTTCCCCTTCTGCGCTGCCTTTCTGCACCTCTGTTACTTGCTTAATGAAAAAAATAGCTTATGTCAGTGAGCAATTTGTTAATGATCATAACCTGCTTTCTTCTCTATGAGACTCCCTACTTTCACAAGTACAGAAAATACTTCTTTTCATAACGCTTAATAAAATGTGTGGGCAGTTCTCGGATCATTACCCTTTGGGAAAGTGGCATTGGGGCTCTAGGGTTAAAGGGAAACAAACATTTGTTCTGAAAAGCCTTCTCAGAAGTTCTAAAAAGGAGCTTTAAAGACAACTTCTGTATTAAAACGCAGAACGGAAACGGTTTTGCTTTTTTGTTATTTTTTTTTCCAAACAGTGTATTTATTAACTGGAGGGGAAAGTTTTACTATGAAACAGCTATTAAAAACCCATACATCAGAATCATGCTTTCAGAATCACTCACACTTGGCTACATCTCCATTTAACTGCATGAGCCTGTTGTCATGGTGAAGAGTAATTACCCTCGCTATCAACACTTCATACTACATGCAAACTGTGGCATTTTTGCAGTCTATTTTTATACTACTACATTCGATCTCCTGCAGGATTCAAAAAATATACAATCCTTACAGCAGCAGAGCAAATCTGAGGAACTGGATGGAAATGCAAGAATTGCAACCAGTCCAGTTCCTGAAGCAACATTTTACCAGGTAACAAAGGCAGTGAGGCTAAAAGGATGAATTTTGGCAAAGATGCAATATTTTTAGATGTGCCCTGGAGAAGACATTCTGATTAATCAGAAGTATCCACCAAAGGAATATGGTAGAGGTCAAATAAAGATACCAAAGTTTGCTTCCCAGCAAAAACAGACTTGCCACCTACAATCTATCTGCACATACGACCATAGAAAACAATTTTCAACAATGGAAGTCTACAACAAACCAAAATAAAAACTTAAAAACTTCCTTGAAAAGAGATTTTATACTTCCTCACGAGTAAAATGGGGATTTTCAGCCTACAGTCCACAAGTTAGAAAGATACTGCCAGAAAAAGATTATGATACAAGTCATCTACCTAATGACAAAGTGTTCTATAGAAAGAGTAATGGCTGAGAAAGCAGGAAGTGAAGACAAACGCAGAGGAAAGCCTGATAAGCCTCAAGATATACTATTGTCTGTTATGAAAATTGTTATTCTACAGCCAATCGTGACATTACAGGACTTGTTATCATCCTCAACTGTCTATATCCCCATGTTTTTTTAGGCGCTTCATCACCTATGCAGCAATCTAGATTTTCACACAGGTTAGTTTTTGAATTACCCTCATACTACTAACTTTAAAACATGCTAACTCTGCTGATTCAACTGTTATGAACTGTATTCCCAGTTCAGCATTGCTAAATCCCACTTGGATGATTTGCATGCTTACCTCTGGAATGTCAAACGAAGCTAAGTGACTAGCAATCGATTAGAAATCAAAATATGCAAATTTTCACATATTTAAATTCATTGATAGTTGTCTCCTTTTACTAGACATTATTATTAATTAAATAAAAGCAAGACAAAAATTAAAAAGAACAATTAAATAGGGGGATAACATACATTAAATTTCTCACTTTGCGAATCGTTTTTTTTCATTTCCTTTTTATCTTAAATAATTCCAGATAAAAATGAGTTATAATAATAATAGACTTCTATATTAAGGAAACTAAAATTTAGAATTTTTAGTGCTGCCATTTTTTTGTTGTTTTCTTCCTTAGGAGAAACTTATTTGTATAATCTACTACTGAACTAGAGAATTTTGCCATATTAAGTAGGGTCTTCTCTTAACAAAATGCTAACAAATTTCAAACAAACCACTGCTTCCTAATTCTCTTCAGAATACCACATTCATCAGTGACTGTAAGGAATCAGTCACTTTTCTATTTAGACGTTACTGTGTACAAGCTCCAACAACAGAAGAGCAGCTCCTCCTTGTGCTTCTCTGGACAGAAATACATTGTGCCCATGTTAAAGTCAGTAATGAACTGGATGAGGCAGATTGAACTGGAATGTTTCAGACATGGTTTTGGTACAGATGACAATTTCAATACAGTTTAAGACAAGCGAACACATGTTCAATTTTTGCTCCTACATGCGGGTCACTTTGAAGTCTTTACAAATAACTGTGCTTACTCACCTGTGAAGGTCTACTGATGTAAAGGGATTTATTTGAATGAGTGAAAACTGCACGATTTAAGTTATCATCGGTGAGGCTATTTATTCAGAATTTACTGTATCTTGATACAATTCAAGGTGACTTTAGTATTGTCAAAATATGGTCTGAACATCTTCTATCGAGAGTTTTGAATGCAGATCACTCGCCATCTACTTTAGAATCATGTGGAATATTTTAAGATCAATTAAAACTCCATCTCTCTAGCACAACTGTAGACATATCATACTTTGCTCCTGTTACAGGCAGGAGCAAAGAGCAAACCTGCAGATAACGTCCAGCTGTAATCACCAGGGACCAAATGTCATTGCATTGATTAGGATCGCAAAGAATCTAAGCAATCCAAAGCAGTTCATTTCCTGTGTAAAGACTTTTATCATTCAAAAAACATCAATACTGACTAATAGCATGCAAGTCAGAATGGACCATACGTAACAGAAAAAAGGAAGAAACAGCAAGTGGAAAGAGTACGTAGACATAAACTCAAAAGCTTCATGCATTGAGGCAATGCAGTCAGAGGCAAACACTGCATTCAAAAAAAAAAAAAAAAGAGCTTAACACCTCTGAAATTCATTTGTGCATGCAACCATCATAAAATGCAACTTTTCACTCACCAGAGTAGAGTTATGCGACGCATCACCTGAGACCTCGGGTGTTCTTGTGCTGTTTGGTAGTCTGTGAGGGTTACGAGCTATCGCTTGGCACCAGCCCAGCATTTTCTCCTTCCACTTATCCCTTCTCAATTTCTGAAATTCTGAAAACAATTTAGAGTCCCTGAAACATTGACACTTGGAATTTCTTGTGTGCTTGTCTCTGGATGCATGCCTTTAAAAACAACAGCTTTTAAAGTTGTATCTAAACAAGCCAATAAGCACATTTTTAGAACGTGTTTATTTAAAGTACTCTGAAGGGTTATGCCATGCAGGATAGAAGATGGCTATGCACTTTCAGCGCAGGTTACACATATTAATACTGTTTTAGTGTCAGCAAGTTCAGTGCCTTCTCCCCAAATTAAATCTTCCTTAAGTTGTCATTTTTTCTATTAAAGTGCTATTTTCAACGATGTTTGTTTCAAAGTAACTTAGAATCACATCACTCTTAAATCCATATAGCACATAACCTCACGTTATCTGAAACCACTACAAATAGCACTGTGGAAGATATTAAACATAAATCAACAGTGTGAAAACACATATGTGCATACTCATCCCCACACAAAGCACAATACCTGCCTTTGCTTGAAATGGTAAACTAGGATATATTACTGAAAAGAGCCAAAAGTCATGTATGCACATTAGCAATAAATGCTACATGCCAACTGTTTGTAACGGTAATAAAATGCCTTTTAAGTAATACTAAAACATTCCAGAACTACACTACTAAGTTTAATGTTTGTTTAAATATAAGAAACTTCCATAAGCAATGATGTCTTTTTCCAGTTATACTGTATAATGCAGGTCTTCAGAGCAAAACATTCTTAATTAATTAACGTAACCTGACGTTGTTTTCTTTTTAATCCACTATTTCTGAAGCACTTGTAATCTGGTTGTTTATAACATTTTGAATGTGTTTTACTCTGTAACATCATGAAATACTGTAAAGAAAACGATCAACCTACCAGGTTGACTGACCAGTACTTCAACACTAGACTGAATAGATCTGGAACGTACATAAAACAATGCTAAAGACCCTACATGGCAAAGTAGCATCTATGTAATGTGATTAGTGTTATGCAATTGAACTTTCTAATCCATTTTTCAATTACAAAATATTTCAGTCATTTGCTTCCTTCAGGACTGGAGTACAGACCAGCCAAGACTTCAAAACAAGAAATCTAATGAAGCACCGACTAAAGTCATTGCCACCAATTTAGCAGTAGCTTCCACTTCCATTGGATCAGGGCATCCATTGTCTTGCAAACTTTAAGGAAGCTGTTTATTTTCATTGATTCTGTGAACACAGCTAGCAGAACATTGCATACCAAGTGCTTTAAATACTCTTCATTGTATAGCCAACATATCATGAAATAAATCCAGAGAATCAGAAGAAGCAACAGAAGGGAAAACATCTGCACATGTCCTACTGTGCAACTTGGAAAAACAAGCAGTAAATAAGAAGCATCCAATATTATTTTTTCAAGCTTCTGCTACATACCCTAGCTCATTACTACATTGTTTGGGCTGAAATACAATTTATCAACTGAGCAGGGCTGGAACAACGCAGTCCGATTTCTGCTTCTGTAGCATCTTTATGCCTCTGGAATTCCAAGTAGAAACTATTTCAGTATTGTTTAGAGTTTTCAAAATGAGAAAAGACATTTGGTTCTGCTGCTACGGAACCTGCCATGGCATTTCCTCACATACAGTCCCATAAGTGAGGTTTTCAAGTGATGGAGAGGATTTATAATACTGTTAGAGGTGTGACACTGCTCAGTTCAACCTGGATGAAAAGAGAAGAGCTGCTGCTGCTCTGTTTATGCCTGCACTTGGGGCTAAGCAAAGAGCTATTACTTAACATACAATCAGCAAGTGAAATCTGTAGAAGGGATACTGAGTCAAACTTACATTCCGCTTGAATGAAGAACAACAGCTTTGGGGAAGCGGTTCTCCATTTCGGTAACATCTACCTGTAACTCGTTAAAAGAACTTTTCACTATAAACATGGGTGGTAGGTTTTTCGGTGCAGATGCACAGAAACTAGGGATTAATTTTGGCTGGAGGAAAAGCAAAACAAAACAAAACCCACCTACTTCAAAAAATACATTTTAAATAAATGTATTAATTTACTTTAGGTCTGCTCCAGAAGAGTACAACGTAAAGAGCAAAAGGTTCAGGTCTTCACTGAAGAACCTTACCGATATTCTATTATTTCTTATCAGTTATTACCTTATATTTATTTAAGGCTTGCATTTCAAAGTAGTTTTATGCATCAGCCTATTTCTTTGCTTCCAAACCTCTGTTGTCTACTAAATCTCAAGTAAATTATGAGCAAAAACAAACCCATACTACTGCATGTTTCAGTGTATAGTGAATTCTTCCAGAGACGTGTCAGTGTAGAGTCAAAATCCACCACCTCTGGAGCCATCTAATCCTCATACTTGGGTGAGTATGAGCCAATGTAACCTGAAAACACTATTCCACATACCACATATGTTTTGTACTGCAGTTTTGATTTGATCACAGATGAACCTGGTATAGGGAATGTTCTACAAAATGATTTTCTGCACAGCTGGATATGCCTAGTACTTAAAACCGACAAAGCAGCATAAACCCTAAACAACATCTGTAATTCAGTATGACAAAGGCAACTACTTGAAGCCGTTACGAGTTTCCACACAGCTGAGACAAGTCTACCACATTTTAGCAATTTGCTCCTCTATGATGTCAGCTGGCAAGAAGTCTAGGCTCTAGGAAATTTTACAACCTGTTTAAAACAGATGTTAGTTTAGAGCTCACAGTGTCGACGTGAGCCACAGCTGTAGCGAGAAGTGGATGTCTGGCAGCAACGCACTGCAGCGAAGCCTCATTGCAAGGATCTGCAAGGAGACCATTCTAAAAACTACCACCAACATCCTCCCTCAGTAAAAGATCATTAAATCCTTCATTTGTTGCCTTCAGTTGTGAAGATAGGGAGTCTTCTCACTAAATCCACACAGTCCTATCCCAATTCCTCTTAGAACAAAGAATTACTCAAAACAGTTGCAAATCTTGCTTTTGCCTTGACGAGTCAAACTGATGCCTACAACCATAAAGACTGTAATTGAAAGGATTTCGCATTTCCTTATTCAACTGAAGAATAACTATCACAAATAAATTGCCTGGAAAAAAAAAAATCTTAATTTAGTTCCTATAAATTACTTTATACGTATTTCCTCAAGGAAACAATTTTTACTTAGAATCCTGGCAAGGAAAAGGACAAAGAGAATTAGAGATTCAATAGAGGTTTAGTTAAGGATGATTTACTAGAAGCTAACTGGATATATGCAATAAAACAGTTCATTAATCTTACAAGGGAAAAGAAATGGTAAACTTAGCATGAACACAATTAGATTCGGGTAACAAAGGCCTCACCACAGGCGGAATTAAGATGAAGTACATAAGATGTTCATGCTTTTTCCACTGTTTACCAGGATCTAGCAATTTTCATAAACCAGAATTTAATCAAGCACAAAACATTATATTCTTTACCTAAGCTAAACTGTTTTGTTCTCTGTGTTTGAAGAGTCCAAAGAGCGACAAAGTAATGGTATTTGTCCCGTGCCTTAACACACTGCATGACTTGGCATATCAGCAAAATATTCCAGGAGCAGATCTGCAGGAATATTTAAATGCAAATAGCCTTCAATTGCGGAGCTCTGGCAAGAGAAATACAGTCCCTGTTGTTTGCTGTGTATTGCTTGTTTGAGTCTTATCAAGCTGTGACTTCCAATCAATTATTCTGATTTGAATGGAAATGCAAATTCATGGTCTGGAGGCATTGGAAAGCCCCAGGAGCTTGTACTGCTTTTGTATCACAAGGGAGCCATAGGCTCTACTTAACCAACTAGTCAATATTATCCTACAACTGCTGTGTATAGCAAGAACAATTCAGTATAACCAGTTTAACAGCATAATGACTAACTCTGTGTTTTTAGACATAAGAAGCTCAAATTCAAGCTTAAAAATTACTTTTTTTTAATAAATCATATTAGAATACATATAGCCATCCCAGTGCTGCATTCCAGTTCAATATAATTCAGCAGAAGCAAAAAAAGAAACCAAAAACTAGCACACAAGCCCAGCAATAATTCAAGTGACACCCAGAAAGATGGTACCAATTAAAGTCTACCGGTACCAGTGTTCCTCTACACCTACTGCATACACACAGTCAAACTCTTCTGAACCAAGCAGATGCAAGACTCTGAATTCAAACGTTCTCATTTTTCTTAATGACAGATTTCAGCACTACATGAAGAGTAAAGGACACAATTATACCCACCTGTATTCCTATCTGTAACAGCAAAACAAAGCTTTGGCGTAACTTAGCCATGCTTAGAAGCGCTTCACTTCGGCAGTTCTTCAAAAACAGAACCACAGAATCAACTCTCATCTCTAGGGTAGATGCCATATTCTAAGATTATTCAGTTTTCCAGAACTAGCCTAAATTACATGTTTATTTAAGCCTGCGGTCAATTAATCAACTAGAATTTTCTTAAATTTTCAAATGTGTTGTCCAATCAATTCTCAGGGGCTTGAGAAAGACTATTTTAATTTCTCCTTACCACAACTGACAATATCATTTCTAACTTAGAGTAATCCAAAGCTTACCACTTTTTGTTATGTTCTGCCACAATTTTGGTCTTCCTTAGCCTTCCAAGGTCCTGAATCTGTCATAATAAAGGTTTCAAACTTCATGCATTACTCAAAACAGTTGATCATTAAAAATAAAATCAATGCAATATGCAAATACACCTGTAAATATTATTGCAGGTAAAATTCCTTCGACTATCCACTATACAACCACTGCATCCAAGCGGTGACAAGAAATCTTTAAAGGCTTTCAAAGGAAGCTTTTGGTTTTCTAAAGATCTAAAAATGTTGGAATGATTGTCTCCACAGTCCACATACTCTTTCTGGCAGAAAAAAAAAACACCTTCTGAATGTAGCTGAAAGCATTTTTAAATCACTCAAATCTCTTCAGAGAAACCACAACAGCGTTTTTCTTTCTCCTTGGTCTGTTCTCAGCATTATAATTCTACCTCTTTGTACTGTGAAG